AACACGAGAATGAACCTCATTGGTTCTTGCTGAAGCTCAAACGTGCTGCGTAACACAAGAATGAACCTCATCGGTTCTTGCTGAAGCTCAAACGTGCTGCGTAACACAAGAATGAACCTCATCGGTTCTTGCTGAAGCTCAAACGTGCTGCGTAACACAAGAATGAACCTCATTGTTTTTTGCTGAAGCTCAAACGTGCTGCTGGGTAACACAAACGTGCTGGGTAACACAAGAATGAACCTCATTGGTTCTCTTACGTCAAACGTACATGCTTGAGTTTCCGTTTACCATAACTGATGTTTGCGTTGATGAATGTTTATATGTGATTAAAAGCCTGAATTAAATCTGTTCAACATATAAAGCGATCGAGTCTCTTCAGAAAATTTGGACTTAACTGTTAAATTCATATGGATTGGTTTTATGATCTCTTTATGAACTTTCCCAGATAGCATGTAATCATTGAAACAATGTTGACTCAGTGTTGATGCGTCAACGCTAATTGCATTGAATTAACGTTACAAAGTAATGTTGCTTTAGTATCACTCTTGCACCCTCAGTTAATGTTGAAAAAATGTTGGGAATTCAACCAAAAATCAATGGTAATAGTATTGATTCAACATTACAAAGTGATATTTTATCAACATCACTTTTGCACCCTCAGTTAATGTTGAAATAATGTTGGGAATTCAACCAAAAATCAACGGTAATAGTATTGATTCAACATTACAAAGTGATATTTTATCAACATCACTTTTGCACCCTCAGTTAATGTTGAAATAATGTTGGGAATTCAACCAAAAATCAACGGTAATAGTATTGATTCAACATTACAAAGTGATATTTTATCAACATCACTTTTGCACCCTCAGTTAATGTTGAAACTATGTTGAACAAAAAATCAATGGTAATGCTATTGAATCAACGTTACACTATGATTGATTATACATCACTGCTGTTGAATCAATATTGAAATTAACAAAAATAATCAATGGTAATATTGTTGAATCAACATTACACTATGATGTTGAATCTACATCACTGCTGTTGAATCAGCTCTGAAATTAACAAAAATAATCAATGGTAATATTGTTGAATCAACGTTACACTATGATTGATTCTATATCACTGATGCTGAATCAATATTGAAATTAACTAAAATAATCAATGGTAATATTGTTGAATCAACGTTACACTATGATGTTGAATCTAAATCACTGCTGTTGAATTAACACTGAAATTAACAAAAATTAAACTTTGGTACTATGGTTTGATCAATGTTACAATGTGATGTTGATTCTAAATACATTTTGTTGAAAGACTGAAAAGGAATGTCAAACAATGTTGCCATCTGATGTACCAATTAATGTTGAAACAGCATTAATATTTCAATCACACGTCAATGGTGCGTCAACAAATTCCTGACCATTTCAAAATTTGTTGAAAACCTTTTCAAATATAAATGACACCTTTCCAGCAGTTGAGTCAATTTATTTTATTCAATCAATCAATGACAACAAATATATTAAAATATCATTTTTTTTAAAGAAAGGGGGAGAAATAGGACAAAAGCATTTCAACCTTTAAAAATAAAATTGGCTTCAGAAGTCTGATGTCATCATAACTACAGGTCCAGGTAGGTTTTTTCAGGTTTTTAAAAATCTGTCTTGCATCATCAGACTACTGCCTCTTTTCCTTTGAGTTCTCTGGAATCTGAAAAAGAAAGCATGATGTTAAGAACGAATCAATTCAGTTGTCATACATACAGTCACATTCAATAATGTTAATATACTAAACACAATATGATTCTTTTTGAACTTTTTTTTTTAAAGTCACTGAAAACAAAATATTCTAACTACGATTGTAGTATCGTAAAATTCTGTTTATTTATTTCTATGAATGCTTTAATATCAAAAGAAAGCACTAGCAGGGGTGTTGGATTTATCTCCAGCCCTAATTAAACACACCTGAGGCAGTTAATCAAGGTCATCAGATCAATAAACACTTCCAGGTGCTGGAGCTAAACTCTTCATGAAGAGGAACAAACACCTCTGAGCTATAGCCATTAAATATCTCAGTTCATTTTCTGTGAAACTACAGCATTCAAATAACACTTTTTGATCTTGTAGAATAAAAAAGATCTTAGTTTTTTTCAATGAAAATTTATTTAAAGAGATAGTTCAGCCCGAAATGAAAATTCTGTAATCATTTACTCACCCTCAAGTTGTTCCAAACCTGTATGAGTTTCTTTCTTCTTTTGTACACAAAATAAGATATTTTAAAGAATGTAGGTAACCAGAAAGTTGACGGTGGCCATTGATTTCCATAGTAGGAAATAATTACCATGGAAGTCAATGGCTAACATCAACTGTCTGGTTACCGACATTATTCACTCTATCTTCTTTTGTGTGCAGCAGAAGAAAGACATTCATACAGGTTTGGAACAACTTGAGGGTAAATAAATGATGACATAATTTTAATTTCAGGCTGAACTATCTCTTTAAAGCTGCAGATTCACCTTATGTAGACCCCAATCTCTTTAAATATCACAAAATAGCCATGTCAGTCAGTTTCTTAATAAACACTAGATGTTTTTTTGTTATTGTGTTTCAGTGGAAACAAGCTAAACTGAATGGAAATCAGTTATTTCTCAAATTTGATACAGATTCAGGAATATGAATGATTACCTGATTAAGCAGTGATAAGATACAGGATATCATCAAGTCCCAGGTCAGGTGATTATGCTGTCGACAACAACTCAATGTATGATCAATGTCAGCATTATCAGGAGGGTGCTTTTTTAAATGTCCATCTTCATCTGCCTTCACTCCTACTAAAGGAGCAATGTGTTCTGCATGCAAGCACTGACCGATACAAGACATGGGCTATGTTAACATTCTTGCTCCTGTTTATGTCTCTTGCACCTTAAGAAATCTGTTAAATGACATAACTTTATTCAGGAAATTCCTAATAAACTTTACTAAAGCAAGATGCATTTTTTAAGAATGTAGAAAAATAGATGCTTTATTCAAACACTTTAATAACTTTGTAATCTAATTACAGTGAGTAACAACACAAATCAAACGCAAATAAGCATGCAAAACAAAGGAACAGAGAAATAAGGTAGATGCACCATTGTTTGAAACTGTGCTAGAGAAGTCATGTAAGTCAGGTGATTCAACAAACAAGAGGTCTGTATAGGATGCACCTGTTTTCTCTCTAATGAGGAAGCATTAGACTATTGAAAAGTGCACATGCAAAGACAAAAAGGGGCGTTTACCAATCAGTGGCCAATTTCAAACTACAATACAGGTAAATGTTTTTCAACCATTTTTCAACAGACTTGCTAAAATCATGAAGGCCCACCCCTAAACCAAGCCCACAGTGGATTACAGCAAATCGGGTAAAGCGGTTGAAAATGCCCATTGTGGTTTGAAAACGCCCCACTGATCGAGAAACACCCACTAGTGTTCTGCAGAGATACGCCTGAATGATCTTGTGCTCATCAACTACAAATCACTGTTAGTTCAATGTCACTGTCTCCACCCATGTGTGCTGTTGGCTTTCATCAAAATTTCAATGCTGATCCAGCACACTTTAAAGATTGAAATGTCAATCTCAACCAAAATGATGGTTTAGATCAAAACTCAACATTGTATCAATGTCACCATGCTATCTGGGTTTTGATGCATCAAAGTGGTAGTTGCATAGACTGACAGTGGAGAGACAGGCATGTCTCAGATTTCATTCAAAATATCTTCATTTGGGTTCCAAAGATGTACAAGAGTCTTACGGGTTTGGAAGGACATGAGGGTGAGTAATTAAGACAGAATTTGTGAATTTTTGGGTGAACTAACCATTTAAGGCAAAGCAATATAATATACAGCTAGATTAATAAAAGCTGAGCACAAGAACTAACTCATGCACACCTAATTCACTGTCTCTTCAAGTTAGTGCTGATGATCTTTAAAAAGGTGGAACGTAAATAAATATCCAATATATTTATAAAAACCCAGGCCGATAACTAATATTGTTATGATGTTGGAAGGGTGAAGAAGGGAATGAACCCAATCGCAGACAGTAGTCACAGCACACGGTTTATTATGAACAAAAAGAGAAAACAAAACCCACGAGGGGGCGAAACACAGACAGGACATTAGGCTGACAAGACTAAACTATGACTTCACAATAATTCTAATAAATGCTCACAATGACAATAATCTCCACAAAGTACTCACAGGTAACATTTGGCAATGAACCGACACAAGACAGCAAACACAAGGGGATAAAATAGGGAGACTAATCATGACATGACAGGTGACACAGATAAAGCAATAATGACTAAATCAGGATAACAAGGGGGCGGGGTTAAGAGACGAGACAACACAAGCACATGACCAAAACACAAGGCCATGTGCTTGCACACAGAACATGGGTCTGTCATGATCCTGCCGCAATACTAAGAGAATCACGGACATGATGGCAGAATCATGACAAATATGGTGCAATACACATATCTCATTTAAAAGGTCATAAATATTAATTAATAAATATTTAATGAATCCCATGTTTTCATTGCTGGAACATTTCTTTCAATTTTGAAAAGCAGTTGTAATTGCTGGACATGACCTGTACAATAATACTTGTATACAATATATGCTTCATGGCAGGATTCCAGCAGATGTTCTTTACATGGATCTACACACACTCGCTGCGGGGGTTGTCCCACTCTTCCTAATACACTTCCTAAGTTAGACTCCCTAGGGAGACAGATATGGATGATATGATCTCATAAACAGACTGTGAACTTTGAGGGGAGATTATTCTTGGTGCCAGGAAAAACAATGACAGAACAACTGCCAGAGTTTTAACTTACTGCATGACACTAATATATATGCATTATATAGATCAGCAATGAATGTATTTGCAATGTCTATTACTGATGATGCACATAAATGCCTATATAAAAACCTAAAAAAGAAATCTCTTGTTCTGTGTTTCAGGGTAATCTCAGTGCTGAACAACTTGAAGGTAAGAAACAGCCTAAAAAGGTAATCTGATCAACTTAATTTTAAATGAACTAATTTGTTGTTATTTTGCATTTATACAGAGTTCAAAGAAGCGTTCCTGTTGTTTGCCAGGACTCCCTCAGGGGAGATGAAGATATCACTAGCTCAGTGTGGGGATGTGATGAGAGCTTTGGGCCAGAACCCAACTAACGCTGAAGTCTTGAATGTTCTAGGAAAACCAAAGCCTGAAGGTAGACCCACAATGGAAAAAATACAGCTGTGTGACTTTTCAGGGCATTGTACAAGGTGCATGTCATGATCTATATAAAATTACACAAGCTTCCCTGCATCCTATGGGATCATTCATGAGCAAACAAAGGGAAAGACCTAACACACTTCTGTCACAGAGATTACAAAGAGGTGTTGGGTGTCACAAATGTCAAAGATTATCATTTACAGAAGACAAATTCTCTCTGACGTTTGCAAGTCATTCTCTGAATACTGAGATCCTTGTCATAATGGCTCACTAAAAGTCAAAATGCCATTCCAACCGCAGGAATGTAATATTTTACCTTAACACAAAAGAGAAAGAGGTGACAAAGGACTATAAATATAACATTTACTTTTTGCAATTGTGCTATTGAAGCTATTAAAGGAATAGGTCACAATCATTGTCTTGTTGTCTTTCGTTCTTCTTTGGAACCCAAAGGATGATATTTTCTTTATGTATTTATTGGTAAATAAATACAATGAAAGTAAATGGGGTCTAATGTTTGGATTTGTTTGTGTGAACTATCCAATTAAAAAAAAAAATTCTCAGATTGTCAAATAAAATCTAAGAACCTACTAATTGCTTTATTTAAATTGTGTTGTTCAGAGATGGAATCCAAACTGATCGACTTTGAGACTTTCCTGCCTATGTTTCAACAAGTTTCAAAGTCTACTGAAAGGGGTACATCTGAAGATTTTGTTGAGGGCCTTCGGGTCTTTGACAAAGAAGGCAATGGAACAGTCATGGGGGCTGAACTCCGCCATGTGCTTGCTACTTTGGGTATGATGTTATGGAGGAAAAATATGCCAAATTCATATATTTGACCAACATTGAACAGTGTAGTCAAATGTTGAAAACATTGACAACTAAAAATGTATAATTTTGCTCATTGGAACACTGTTTGAATTTCAGGTGAGAGGCTGTCTGAGGGTGAAGTGGATCAGTTGCTGGCAGGGCAAGAGGACACAAATGGTTGTATCAACTATGAGGGTAAGATACAGTTACTCAAGACTTCCCTCTACTGACAAAATGAATGACTTGACGTTTCTCATTGAAATTAATTTTATGTTCTTTCTCCAAGCTTTTATAAAACATGTCATGCTGGCTGAGTGATCGTTTCTGGTAAGTTCTAAATCATCTAAATCAGGGCTTCCCAACCCTATCAACATTAACATTTCAATAAATATAATGATTAAATAATGAAAGCAACTGATTTTTTTTGTTCAGTTTTAATTATATGCATTTAGTTCAGCCAGTTCATGACCTCATGAACTTATAGAACTTCCATCATGAACTCCTACAGAACCACAAAGCCCTGGTTGGGAAGTCCTGATCTGAACTATAATATGCTTTGCTGGTACATTTTAGACTTTAATTTATTTTGCATCTTTTCTGTTGGCCTAGGTACCGTGGCAGCCTAACATTGATGTTTGCAGAAGTAATCTGAAGGTCATGTGTGAGAGTTGACATCAATAAAACAAAATTTTTGTAAAATATTATATACAGTAACTGATTAAATTCACTCTGTTCTTCAATCACCACTTTGAAGCTGTTTTACATCAAGTGCAAATTATCAGTGCAACAAGAGGAGGCAAAATGCCAACGCGATCTCATGAAAGTGCGTATCTATACCACGAATTAAATTTCTCGTGATATGCTACGCACTGTAAATCTCTTGGGTAGGATTAGGGGTGTGGAGTGCGTGCGTATTACTCGCCAAAAAGTGCGTATCATATGCACGCGAAAACTGCGTCACTCTTAGAAAAAAGGGTTCATTTGGGGTTCTATATAGAACCATAGGGATACTCAACTCCAAAGAACCTTTTATGGTAAAAAGGTTCTATAATGACAAGAAAGAACCCTTTTGGCACAAAGATTCTTTAGGCTATTATTCATTCATATATTATAATATTCTGCAACATTTTGTAGTTGTAATTAAATTATGTTTATTAAACTGTTGTAATAACTTAATATCATATTTTAATCATGCTGATTTTTGGAGGAGTAAAAACTGAAATGGCACTCGTGATATTGATTAACTACATAAAATTATCTAAATATATAGCCCACATTTTCTAACCCCCATATCTTGAATTTTGTGATCATTCACATGCATTCATAAATGCTTTTGAATACACTGAATAATGCAGTGAAAGAACGGGCTCAAAATGCACATGCGCACTATAGCCTATAACTTTAGATGCGTGCACTCTGTAGGCACGATTTGTTTAGTTTTTGAAATATACTTGATAATGTTAAAGCGCACATCGTTAAAACAAAAAATACGATATTATCGCAGACGATTTAGCTCGCACACCTCTATATTGACCTTATCGTCATCATCATCATCATCATTATTATCATCATAACAAGAAATTACTCAGTACAAAAACAAACATAAGGGCTCATTCTAAGCCATTTATAGCTGAGGCTTTCGTCTTGTCTTACTTAGCCTTGTTTGCTGCTCTCATTATTTGTCATTTATGTGAAATTATTGTACCGCAACTAAACAATTTTGCATTATGGATTTAATTTTTTTATCTGTTGAACAGCAAACATAAACAAAAAGAAGTAATAGACTCATTATTTTCATTAATTTTACAAAGTAGCTAAACAATTTGTTTGCATTTGCGCGAGCATTTGCGCTCAGCTCTGTCTCGCGAGTGCGTGCACGCACGTTTTTGAATTCCAATGGTCGAGAAGATACTGATCCCCGTCTGCTGATTTGGTCTGACGGAAATTTTTGTTGTGGTAAGTCAGAGAAATACATCGATTTTTTTAAGTAATTTACTTGTTATAAGCTTTAAACCCATTAGTAATAAAGTTGTCAATTTTCTACAGCGGATTTACACTAAAACATGAAAGAGCCTGAACCGCGACAGTGTCACAAGTTGCCTTACAGTAGGCCTACATGGTAAGTTAAAGGTGAACTAAGTAACTTTTTTACCTTAACCGAACAGCTTTGGAGTCATTGTAATGTTTATATTACTGATTTCGTGTTGTATGGTGGTCGTCTCGCACCCCCCTGGTGCCTGTGAGCCGCAAAATCACACTTGCAACTTTGGGCCGGCGAGCCGGGAAAAAACAGATCTGATAAAATGAGCATCAAACCGCCGTATACATGTGGTGTTCGAGCAAGCGGCAACCTCCCTGTCTCTCTCTTGAAACCAACACGGAAGTGAATTAAACTGCAATTCATCGACTGACCGCTTGAGGCAGGCTGCAGAAGTGAGTCAAATCTGCATCTCCCCCATGTTAAAATGCCCAACTTTACAGCAGAAAAAAAACATGTTTACAGCCTGGAGCAAAAAGTGGTTTTGGTCTTTATAGCTTATTTTGCCCTTCATGACAACTGTGAGGGGGGTGCATTTTTTTACAACTCATCCGTTTAAATTATATTAAGCCTGCATAATTAAGGGCGTGGCCACTTGAGTGACAGGTGGATTGCGGCCGTTTGTCTGTCACTCTCAGCTAATTCCAGCAGCTGCTGTACTTGCCATCTCTGCCGTGTTTGTGCTTTTTTCGGGATTATTTCATACAATTTAATACACGCATTATACCTTCGCCCACGCCGTTGGATTCCGTTGTTGTCGTCGAGTATGGAGCATAGACTGGTATGGAGAGAACAACCAGCGCTGTATTTCCAGTTGTTTTCCTCGCATGCACTAACGTTACGTTAATGAATGTCTGACAATTTCCTTGCTAAAAAAGTCTATAGACAGAGAGACCACACTCGTTATGCGGTACTGTTGCTCTCACGGAACAGATGCTTATTTTACTTTTTAGTGTTAAATAAAAAGTACCGTCAGATGAAATCCTGCAGGTGTCAGTGCTTTCTCTCCGTCCATGCAGTAACGTTAGATGCACACCCTTGAATGAGCGCGGATTTCTAGTGCATTTACTTGAACTTCTGAGGTAATATCTTTCGTGTAACCCATTTGAGAAAATGAGAGGCGGCCAAAATCAGATTTTAAAATGGACTGAATAAAGCTCTTTACGGACTTGACGTGCGATGCCATGCTGACTGACATGTATGTGCATGAATCACTGTCACACGCAAGCTCAGAGCAATATTGTAAGTTACTGCATGATAATACATTTTTATAGCAGAATAATAATACATCACGATACACAGTCTCACTTTTAGTTATGTCTTTTAACTATTATAATATTTCAAAGGGCAAAAACATGAACTTTCACTATTGCCTTTACTTCTTCAAACAGCTATCACTTTAGCGCGAGGCCAGTAGCATATAGCATTAGCACCTCAGCTCCACCCACGGCCCGCCTCTTTGCCCATTTTCTGTTATCCGGTAGTGACGAGAGGTGACGCGCTGCCAAGATGGCGACGGCCGGCCCCGCCCACTTTAGGCTTCAAAAACGCTCTTCAGAAACCTACGGGTGACGTCACGGACACTACGTCCATATTTTTTTACAGTCTATGTGTTCGAGACGCAGGGCGCGCGCAGCTCTTAAAGGGGCCATACCTTATTTCCACTCGTTACAGCGTCCATCCTACTGAACAGGTACCGGTGTACAGGGGGAGGGGATCTGGCCGTGAGTGCGAGCCATCTCTGCGTGAGTGCTATTCACGACAGTACAAGTACTCCACCACAGCGACTCTAGGGGTCGCTGTTTGACAAAAACGGAATTCTTACTTAGTTCTGCTTTAAGTTTTGTTGTGCTTGTTGCAAACTGTTAAATTTTGTGTTTTCTGATCCTAAGTTTTTAACTGCAGATAGTGGTCTAATCTAGTTTTTGACCGCACACTCAAATGGTCATGAAGAACCATAGACAGTAAAAGAAATGGACACAGCGACCCCATAGACTTCAACGGAGAAAAGTGAAGTCAATTAGGAGCACTCACTTCCTGATTGCCAAGCGAACTGCGCAGGCTCACACTGAGCTTGATGACGTATATGTGACGTGAGCAACCTGACTCACAGTTGTAGCCTATGTCTTCTAGTAGCTGTGCCAAGAGGAATCTGAATCATTCCCTTCCGAATCTTGCAGAGCCGGAGATGGTGAGTATTAGCTGTCCTGTCCATGAGCTCACAGCAGGAGCAACTTTATGACTCTCCATGGGCTTCTCCCTTGACTTTATGCCTCCACGTCCCCCCGATTCCGAACGAGCTTCTACTTCTGTCTATACGGTAATTTCTCTACTGCGCGACAGAGAGTCGCTTGTTATGACGCAATGGTTAGCCTATTTTTACAAAAACTGCTTCTACGGGGCCATAACGTAAGATACAAGGTAATGGAGGCTTTTATACATTGTCGTGTTTCTTTAGAAATAAACAATGGACAAATTGAGTTTTTAAACGCCTCAGATGTAAAGTTATTCGCTGTCAAAGTGACGCCAAAATGAATGGGAGTCAATGGAATGCTAACAGCAGGTTAAGGCTTGTTAGCCAATGGCGGCCCCCGGGGAGACTTCAGTTTCCGGCTGATGGATTACCCCCTTGTGAAGAGCAGCCCTACAGAACAGAACAGAACGCTTGTGTGCGTTCAGCTTAGGGGCGGTTCTAGACCCTTTTTAGGTGGGCTTCAACCCCCATATTTTTCGTCTCAGCCCCCCTAAAACTATAATCAGCTATCTGAATGATCAGGCATGCAGTGCTGCTTCTTCAGTAAAGTTTATCATTCTCTCTTGTTTACTGATGGACCCCCCTAAAGGTGAAATCCTAGAATCGCCCCTGCAGCTAGTGGTTAAATGTACTCGCACTTCGGCTCAGAAATGCTTTTATGATGCTAGATAATTGTAAACAGCCCAATGTGAACACTCTTGTGATTCACTTCAACCTTTTCAAACTTTATGAATGATTATTTTATGTTCAAGTCAAGTGTTGTCTAAGGAACTGGAAGCAGGTCGGTTTCTAAAGCACACACAGCTTAAAGGAATAGTTCACTTTAAAATGAAAATTCTGTCATCATTTACTCACCCTCAAGTTGTTTCATACCTGTATGAATTTCTTTCTTCTGCTGAACACAAGGGTTCCAGTTAACTGTTTTGGTTACTGACATTCTTCAAAATATCTTCCCTTGTGTTCAGCAGAAGAAAGAAATTCATACAGGTTTGAAACAACTTGAGGGTGAGTAAATTCATTTTAAAGTGAACTATCCCTTTAACTACAATTAATCTGCCCTGATAACAAGTGTATTAAATTGACACTATATCTTTACTTGGAATGCACTTGCTTGTAGACTGTACAATTAGGGTCTATTCACATGTTCTTATCCCCCTTCATCTATTAATTCCCTAAATCACTTTTCCTCTTTAGGGTTGTGGAAAGGCTGGGGCCTTTTTCCCTCAGCAACATTTTTAAATTGCCTGTTCAAATACAAATTTGTTTAATGCTTTTTGTAGAAGATTTGTTTTTGAGAAATGTACATACGCATCATGATTGTTCATTTTAAAGTGTTAGGTGATTTTATATGAAAAATCAATAAATTATTTAGAAATTTTATGGTAGACTAAGGTTAAGAAAGTAGTGACATG